ACGTTAAACCTTTCATTTTGTAATTGACCATTTTACACTTTCGATTAATTGTTAAGTTAAATGGTCTCAGAAATTKCCCAAACATGGCAAAGCTTTCGTTATTTGCATATATATGGAATTATTTGTAATTTCTAAGSAGGATATATGCGCATAAGTACATGCTTAAGTGAATAGAACACGCTGTGAGCACAGCTATTTCAATGGATTCCACATACTCACCCATGTAGAGCCAAAAGTAGATAAATACCCATATCCATGAGTATGTATGTATGTAGGTGTGTATGTGAATGTGTCAAATAAATATACGAATTGCAGGTTCATGCCGTGGCCCGTTGACGCCTTGGAGCGTGTTGCTGAATATTTTATCAGTTCAATGAAATTGGGTCAGGCACAGGAGCAGACTGAGGYCGGTGCCGCTGAGCAAGCATCGCTCGATACCGCAGAATCGGATGACAAGAAAAGCGACAATGTTGAGGAAATTGTGCTCAGCGAATTGGAATTGGAGCTGGTACAAATTGTCATGTATTTCAATAATTCCGTCTTCGAAGCGAGCGAACGGTAAGTGCACGTTTATCGAAAGTTGTCAAACGGAATGAAGTGATAAGTTGACAAGCAAACAAGCAAACAAGCACATAAACCGCATTAAGCACAAGCAAACGAAATATACACACAGACAGACGGACAGATATAGCAATGTGCACATGCATTAATTTGACTTAAATTACAGCTGTTATCTGGAGTTGGGACGCCGCAATTATGTGACACCCTCATCTTATTTGGAGATGCTTAAGTCTTTTAAAAGTTTCTACGTACGGAAATTGGAGGAAATCACGAAACTGCGTGATCGGTAAGTATGCGCTGGCATATCCCGTTAATTACATGCAAACCATATCTTAAAATATAGCTACACCACTGGCCTGGAAAAATTGGACTTTGCTGCCGGTCAGGTGGGTGAAATGCAGGCGAATCTCTACGATCTGCAACCCAAACTGAAAGTGCTCTCCGAGGAGACTGAACGCATAATGGTTAATATTGAACGTGAAACAGCGGAGGCGGAGAAAAAGAAGGAAGTGGTTGGTGCTGATGAAGCGGCTGCGAATGAGGCGGCAGCCGCCGCGCAAGCGATCAAAGATGATTGCGAAAGTGATTTAGCTGAAGCGATACCCGCTCTAGAGGCAGCATTGGAGGCTTTAAACACCCTCAAACCGGCTGATATATTCATTGTGAAGTCGATGAAGAATCCACCGTACGCCGTGAAGTTGACACTGGAGGCTGTGTGTGTTTTGCGCGGGTTCAAGCCGGATCGCAAGCCAGATCCCAGCGGCCGCATGGTGGAAGACTTTTGGGGGCCATCAATGCGTATGATAGGCGATATGAAGTTTCTGGAATCCCTGAAAACATTCGACAAAGACAATATACCGCCGGCAAATATCAAAAAGATTAGAGAGAAGTGCGTGACATATTTGTAGAAAATTTGCAAAATTTTTGAAACTTTTTAACTTTACTGTTATTTTTCAACATATTTAATCTTTTCAAAACCCAGATACATACCCGACCGCGACTTTGTACCAGAAAAGATCAAGAGCGCCTCCACTGCCTGTGAAGGTCTTTGCAAATGGGTGCGCGCCATGGATGTGTATGATCGTGTAGCGAAAATCGTGCAACCGAAACAGCAAGCACTTGCCGAAGCAGAGGGCGATTTGGCTTCACAAATGGAGAAATTAAACGCGAAACGTGCCGAGCTGCAAGTRATTTTGGACAAATTGCAGAAATTGAATGACTTCTTCGCCGAAAAGTCACGCGAAAAGAAGCGTCTGGAAGATGAGATCGATAATTGCGAGAAGAAATTAAATCGGTAATGTTCGTTGAAATGCACAAACAGTAAAATAATATTTAAGCCATATTAAATTTGTTTTTTTTTTTTTTTTTTTTGCACTCAGCGCGGAGAAGCTACTTGGCGGACTGGGCGGTGAGAAGACACGTTGGTCGGAAGCTGCGCATAACCTACACAAATCGATAAGCAATATTGTCGGCGATGTTCTGCTAGCCGGTGGCGCRGTAGCTTATTTGGGTTTCTTTCCAACTGAGGTGAGTTAGTACTCGTTACTGTTAAAGAAATTGTTTTTGGTGTAATGTTGAATTCGTATCGCGAATTGAGCTATATAAACGAAGATTAAACSTGACTTCGAAACTATTCCTTTTCGTTCCTTCGCAAATTCAAGTGGCTGGTCCAGCAGCAACTATTACATAATCAGTCATATACTTAAATTTACACCTTACTTACTCATACATCCCGTATGTTAGTGCTAAAAACTAAGTTTTTAAAATTTATAAAAATTATAGTTATTTTCGTGGTTTCTAGCTGCCGRCTTGTAATTAATACGCTTCGTTTAAGCTACACATTTAACGCATTATTGATATTTTCTATTGTAGCAACTACTAGGGTGTTGCTCACACAAAAAAAGAAAAARTACAACTACTCTAACCGTCAACGAAATTAATCACTGCCAACGCGGATTTTGCATGTCCTAAAAAAAAATAGGTATTATTTTTTTTTTGCTGTCGGTGGTGCTATGTTGATGTGTCGAAAAATGCTTATTTTTAGCGATAGAATATTTTTTRAAATTCGATTAAAATAGTCGTAGCGTATAAAAGAGTTGTTTATATGCGAGAGCACGTAAAATATTTGCGTATGTATGCAAATGAGAGTATGAGCGCTCAGGATTAAAAATTTGTGAAATAAAGAATTCCGGTATATACTATTTAAATGCACTCAGAAAGTGTTTTAGAGAAAAATATAAAAAKCGTAGAARAGTCTGAAATATTGTGATCACTCTCTGGTCCACATGAGCGTTACGTTAAACCTTCTATTTTGAATAAGATTAAAAACGAACACCAGAAAAAACAAAATTTGCTTCAAATATACCTAAAAACTTTAATATTGTTAATTACGAAAGTCGCGAATCGGAAAAAAATATGATAAATAGAAGGGAGTAGTATTGCCAGCAGATAGGGAATAGCACCACTTGAAAGAGAGATATGAGTCACTGAGATTAGAACACACACACATTTTGTCGCCAAACCGGTTTGTAGGCGAAATGAAAACGAGAAAGGGCGAAGACATTGTGACTCTCGTGTCAATGTGGTCTTGCACGCACTAGTTTGCTGCGTTTCGCTCACAAATACCATGTTTGTACTCTCGCAACAAAGTTGCTAAGGAGCTGTCTCTTATACACATCTTTGCATGTCCTAAAAAAAAAAAAAATATTTTTTTTTAGAATGGCTGTCGGTGGTGCTATGTTGATGTGTCGAAAAATGCTTATTTTTAGCGATAGAATATTTTTT